TTCTAGTGTCAATTGATTTCCAAACGTGGTCAGTCTGTTTTTAAATCCCTGAGGTAACACCGTCCATGTGAGCTGTGTCCTTCCTGTTTCAGGGTTTTCCCATTCGAAAGCAAATAAATTTTTACTTTCTTTGGCCAGGGGCAGACAGAAAAATGTATCCTTTAAGTCCAGAAGGGTAAACCACCCCTGATTAGTATTCAATTTAGTCAATAAGGTATATAGATTAGCTACTACTGAATGAATGTCCTCCACAATTTGATTACTCTGGGATTTTGAACTAATCTGTAAATTTTCCCATCGGATTTCTTTAATGGCAAGATAAGAGTGTTATATCCCAATTCACATTCAATTAATAATCCATTTTTTTAATTATTTCTTTGTTTTCCTTTTGATCCTCCAATTTTAAGGGATATTCTTTTGTTCTAATTGGACAGGCACCCCCTTTTATTTCTACTTTAACAGGCAAAGATTTATTTTTTTTTTTTTTCTTACCTGGAACTTCAGATGCCCATACTCTCAGATATACCTGATTAAGGATTTCTTCTATTTCAGGGAGGTCCTCCTGTTTGCTTTTCTATTGAATTAAAGATAAACTCCAAACTTCAATTAATTGATCATTTTTGACTCCTAATTCCATTTTGCCTTCTTTAAATGTTGCTTCTCACCCTAATAAAGATTTCTGGAGGATTTGGCGTGTATAAAAATGTATGCAGTCCTATTTGTTTTCCCGATTTATACTCTAAAGGTTTCACAAATTCTTTTCCTCTGGTTTAAGATCGAATAAGTTGCTCCTGTATCCACTTAAAATTCCACTTTATTTCCTCTAGTTCCTCGTTTTAATTTAATCAGTGGATCTGCTAGGGTAGATTCCCCAGGTCCCTGTCAGTCTAGTTCTAATTCAGTCACCGGAGCCGCCCCATGGCACTCCCCCCAGGGCAGTCTCACTTCCAACATCCAAACTTACAGTATGCACACTGATCCCATCCCACAAGAGAATTCAATTTCTCATCTCTGCCTGTCCTTCGTCCTCTACCTCTGCCTCGTCCTCTCACATTAGTCCCTCCACCAGCTTCTACTTGTCCCAAAGCAGCCGCTGTAGCCGTGCCTATAGCACGACTCAGCTCTTTCTTCTCTACATGTTTCCGATTCCGATACACTCTCCACACTTCTTTAACATTCCCAAGTTCTTCTGCTCCCAATATCACAGGCTGGAATATCACAGGCTGGAAAACATCTCTCCAGCTTAGCTTTATGGTTTTCCCTTTCCTTTTCCAAAGCCAAAATTAGGGATCTGGCAGAGCTATATTAATTTAACATTCTGTCTGCCACTCCGGGTGGTTTCTTGAAGTGAAAAATGTATCTGCATACATCACTTCATCCCATTTTCCCTGCCGCCTCAAAAACAACATTAATTGTAACAGTGTATTATAATTCAGAGTTCCATTTTTAGGCCATTTCTCCTGATCTTCCAAAGTATATAAAGGCCACCATTGGTTACAATATTTTATCAATGCTTTCTTGTTTACTGAGCCCCCAGGAAACCCTCTCAGTTCTTTCCAATGTGCCAAAATGCACCCTAAAGGACTCTTTTTCAAGATCTCTCCACTCTGCCAATTTCCCATTATTAATCTCGCATTCACACGCATACACACACAGGATCCCACAGACACACTCCACAGTTATGATGCAGAGGGTTGACCAATGTACAGGGGGGTTGTACAGGGGGGTTAGAGGAATTTGCTTGCGTTAGAGGAATTTACTTGTGTTAGAGGAATTTACTTGCCTAGACAAGGTATTGTCTGTTGTAAGTGCTTACTAAGCAGAACAAAGACACCAAGTCCTATTGATAAGCAAAAGCAGGCACCTGGTCATATTGATAAGCAGACACCTGATTATAATGATAAGTAGCTATTGATAAGGAAAAGCAGGCGCCAATACGGGAAGAAGCAGATGGTTTATGGCTGGGGCACCGACCAAACCCTAAGGCCATATGTGTAAAGACTAAAAGGTGACAAGTTCAAGAAGAAGAAGACTCATTTACTTCATCTTGAAGACCCCTACCCACAGGAGGAAGACTCAATTACTTCATCTTGAGACCCCTGCCCATGACCAGAGGGGGCACTGCGCAGGCGCAGAGGACTTTCTAGGTCATTATAATACGAAGCGGGGATAGAATATGAATATGTATAGGCGTATTGTGCAACCTTGTAACTTTAGAGGATAAATGTAGAGGGAAACAACACTGAGGCATGCATGACTTTTGGAGGACCAATCCCCCGTGCGTCTTCAGCTGAATAAAGCATACCTACTTTACAACTTTAACAAAGTTGTGGAGTCTATTCCGCTATCAGTTACAACTCTTGAAACAGAGACAACAATTAATAACGCAGTTATAACAATCTGTCACCAATACCAAAATCACAAGACCAAGTCAAAACTATAACAACCCACAACATAAGTCAAATACCAGTAAAAATCCAAAAGTTTTTCTACAAGACGCCCACTGCGTCTTGCAGAACCCAAACCACAAGAAGCCCCCTGCTTCTTGTGGGTGTATACCAAACGGCCGCTAGCAGCCAGGTGTACGCGTTTACCCACGAGATTTCTTATCTTGATTTACGGAAGGCTTCCAAACTTTGCGTACGCTTACCAAAGCAGTTTACCAAACAGAGATGCCCCCTGCATCTTACAGACTATATAAATGAAAAGAATACCTTTTACGAGATGGTCCTTGTCTGCTCCTGCAGGGATCCGAATGAGTGAAGGGGTCCCTCCGGGAAAACAACAAAAACTCCCGAGGGCCCTAGGGGAGCCCTGTCCTCAGCCGGTCCTGCAGTCAAGCAGAGAGGGTCCCATCTGGGGTGCCAAATTGATTCGGAGAAAACTCCAGGAACTCGTCAACAAACTTTTAAGTTGACAAGCAGGTATTCTTTATTGCAGCGCCAGGAGACATGGGCATGCATACAACAATGTGGTGGTCTTTAAGGGTCGTTTACTTTCCCAACAAGCTTAATTAACATTACAGACATAGCAATCATCCTGCCCTTTTACTTATCAGTTAGTTTAACTCCTTGCATCCTGGACATCAGCTAGTCTGGGATACTCCCCAGTAGATGTTTACACCATCTTAATGGCTTTATTAACACCAAACATAGCAATCATCCTGTAGTTTTATTTTATTCCTGGTGCGACTGAAGGGAGGGGAGGATGGGGGAGCCGATGGAGAAGGATCGGGTGGTATCGGTGGGTAAATGCCTTCCCAATCACCTCTCCCGCCCTTGATAAGGGGGTGGTAACTTATCTAAAGGCTCCCATGATGATTTATTTGGTTTATTCACCTTCCCTTTCTTTTCTTTTAAGGGAAATAACAAAACTGTTATAGATGACCCTTTCCATATTGCAGCATAATCACTCTTCTCTTGATTGAAAGGTTCCTTGCCATTTACATATTGATTTAAGGTTTGGCATATCCAATCATCAAAAGACCTGAATATTGGCCAATACAAATGATCGGGTCGAATTTCCTCTTTTGTCCACACTTCCATACAGTAATGGACCATTTTTTCCTTACTTTTTCCTTCCTGGGACGGCCATGAGCCCCAGTACTTAATCATTAACCCCAGGGGACTGTCCGGGGGTATATCTGGTAGGTTGCTCCCTATTTTATTCCTAGGACCTCTCCTTGGATCCTTTCCTGGGTTAGAATTACGACTGTTTTTCTGACCCATTATCCTATTTCGGGGACCTCTACCTGGGCCCCCTACCCGGGTTGAGTTATGGCCAAGACTCTGACCCGTTCCCTGTCGGGTGTATTCCCTTTCACCCAATCACTATCGCTTCCCTCCTTCAGCGGCCAAGTCCCTCGCGGGAGTTTGGAAACGCGCCTAAAAGAGGTCCACACTCACTTCACGAATCCTGATAACCTAATCTGTATTCTCACAGGTTCAGGGTATCTGGTTCGTGTCTCACCAGGCACATCAGGCACTCTGTTTCACACTCACACACATACCCCGACTCTCCTCCCAACCGAACGATACTTACAGTCCGTTGTTCTCGTCCGGATCTTCGTACACAAGAATTATGGGAAAATTTTAAACTGCAGTTCTCCAGTGAGCTCAATTCCTTGGTTATTGCTTCTCTGTCCGTTGATCTCGTGGAACTGCTCAAGACTAAAACCCCCCTGAGCCACAAAATGTGGGGCACCTCCTCGTAGAGGTTATAGTCCCCAGCAGCCGCACAGAGATCACGTCGGGGTCACCAAATTGTTATAAAAATTTAGCATAGACAGGGTTTTGGTCCAAATTTAATTTATTTACAATTTATTGAGAGGCAATAAGCAAGCAGCGCTGGGTGCGCAGGGGAGCCTTCACTCCACCAGCAATGCACCTCGAGATTTCTGGGGTACAGTCTCTTTTCACATCTCATACCTTTAGTACCCTCACGATCACCCTGACATTGTTGTAGAAGGGGTTTAACAGCAGCGGCGAAGGCAGTAGCCATGTATCCAGCCTTTTCCTCTGCTGTGCCCACTTTAAACCTTATCTGAAGGTGGGAGCAAGCAACGATTGAGCTATCATACGGATATCATATGGTGCTAAGACCATAAGGACAAGGCAGAGACGATCAATGTGATCAGCGATTGCCAATTTATTACAAAGCTTTAACTCCTCATATACCATTTCTTACAGGCACTTACAGTGATTTGGCATATTATGATTGGATACATGTCTTGAAGACCCTTAGCGACTAACACATAATTGGTTAAGCACAGGTGTGAGAACTTGACCTCGAAAGCTTGCCAACAGCCCACAGTTCTCATAACTCAGTGAATTCCAGCTTCTTCTTATCTAGCTTGCTTAAGCTTCCTTGGGCCTCTCATGGCCTTGCTGTATCTTTCAGGATTATTCAGAGTTTAAGTACCAATTACCCATTCTCCCGTGAGAGCACTGTCTCCACAGTTCGTGGAGTTTTCTCCGAATCACTTTGGCACCCCAGATGGGACTCTCTCTGCTTGGCTGCAGGACCCGCTGAGGACAGGGCTCCCTAGGGCCCTCATTAGTTTTTCTCGGAGGGACCCCTCGACTCATTCGGATCACTGCGGGAGCAGACAAGGACCATCTCATAAAAGGTATTCTTTTATATAATCTGTAAGTTGCATGGGGCATCTCAGTTTGGTAAATTGGTTTGGTAAGTGTACGCATGGTTTGGAAGCCTTCTGTAAATCTATATAGGAAATCTCCTGTGTAAAAGCCTATCCACGGCTGGTAGCGTCCGTTTTGTATACAGCCACAAGAAGCAGAGGGCATCTTGTGGTTTGGGTCCTGCAGGACACAGTGGGTGTCTTGTAGAAAAATTTCTGGTTTTACCAGTATACAATCACAAAAAGCAGGGGTATCTTGTGGTTTGGCTCCTTCAAGACACAGTGGGCATCTTGTAAAAAGGTTTTGCATTTTATTGGTATATATGGACAAGAAGCAGGGGGCATCTTGTGGTTTGGCTCCTGCAAGATGCAGTGGCCGTCTTGTACAAAAGGTTTTGTGTTTTACTGGTATATACTCACAAGAAGCAGAGGGCATCTTGTGGTTTGGATCCTGCAATACTGATTGGGCGTCCTGTACAGGAGGTTTTGGATTTTACTGGTATTTGACCTATGTTGTGACTTCTTTTAGTTATGATTTTGGTATTGGTGACAGACTTTTATAACTGTTAATTGTTAGTTTGACACAATTTTAGTCTCTGTCTCAAGTGTTGTAACTGTCCGGAATGTGTCTGGGATCCTGTGTGTGTGTGTGTGTGTGTGTGTCCTGGGTTCAGCAGTAGCAGTCATTTTTCTCCTTCTTGTTAGCTGGTACAGTGCTGTGTTTTGACTTTCGGCCTGGGAACAGAGATGATAACACTGATGTTTTGGTCTGGCCAAGGACTTTGTGAGCCTCATGCTCTGCCAGGGAGGAGGGGAAGCTGGGAGGAGCAGAGACAGGACACCTGACAGAAACTGACCAAAGAGGTGTTGCATACCACAGCACGTCATGCCCAGGATGAAACTGGGAGTAACCCGGAAGAGCTAGTAGACTGCGGGGTTGGAGGAGGTTTCAGTCAGTGCTTGGTCGGGCTGGGGGGGGGGCAAGTTATATCGGTTGGGTGGTGGTGAGCAGTTGTATTCTCTTCCCTTGTTATTTTCTTTATCATTGTTATTATTGGTGGTAGCAGCACTGATTTGTTTTATATCTTAGTTACTAAAGTGTTCTTATCACAACCCATGGGAGTTGCATTCTTTTTGATTCTCCTCTCCATACCTCCGGGAGTAGGGGGAAAGAAAGAAGGGGGGGAGTGAGTGAACAAGCTGTCTGGGTGGGTTTAAACCACGACAGTGTGAATGCGAGCCTGATAATGGGAAATCAGCAGAGTGGAGAGATCTTGAAAAAGAGTCCTTTAGGGTACATTTTGCCACATTGGAAAGAGCTGGGAGGGTTTCCTGGGGTCTCGGTCAATGAGAAAAAGTTTGTAATATATTGTAACCAATGGTGGCCTTTGTATAGTTTGGAAGATCATGAAAAATGGCCTAAAAATGGAAATTTGAACTATGATACGTTGTTACGATTAATGTTGGTTTTGAGGTGGCAAGGAAAATGGGATGAAGTAATGTATGCAGATATGTTTTTCACTTTAAGAAAGCACCCGTAGTGACAAAAGGAATGCGAAATTAATATACCTCCGTCAGATCCCTTAATTTTGGCTTTGGAAAAGGACAGGAAAAAACTGAAAGCTAAGCTGGAGATATGTTGTTCAGATTGTGATACTGGGGAAAGATGTTAAGGACAACCCAGAGGGAAGGAAGGGGAACGTGGGCAGCTCCTGTGTTTGAGCGTGGGATGAGTGCTGGAGAGGCAGAGGTGAAGGGATATTGGGCGGAGGTGGGGTAGTAGGTTCTTGTCCTATGGGACTGGATCGGTGTGTGCAATGAGGAGTTTGGACCTTGGAACTAGACTGACAAGGGACCTGGGGAATCTACCCTAGCAGATCCACTGGTTAAATTAAAACTAGGGACTAGAGGAGATAAAGTGGAATTTTAGTGGATTCAGGAGCAACTAATTCGGCATTAAATCACAGGGAAAAGAATTTGTTACAGATGTGGGAGCTACTGGACACCAAGAAAAAAACCAAACAAACCAAAAAGGCATTCTTTCTGAAACCCTTAAAGTACAAATTGGGAAAACATATGGGAATGCAGAAATTTTTGTGCATTCTAAATTCTCCAAAATCTTTATTAGGGCAAGAAGTAACATTTAAAGAAGGTAAAATGGAATTAGGAGTTAAAAATCAGTTAATTGCAGTTTTCAATTTATCTTTAATTCAACAGAAAAGCCAACAGGAGGACCCCCCTGAAGTAGAAGTCCTTAATCAGGTATATCTGGGAGTATGGACATTTGAAGGCGAAATTGACATTTTTGAAGGTCAAATTGCTTTGGCTATTAAAGTAGAAATAAAATGGGGGGCCTGCCCAATGAGAAAAGGGGAACCACAAAAATGCAAAATGAAATATATAAAACTTTAGAAGCAGTTTTAAGTAGTGTTAAGTTTGATGGCTTTGTAACAGTAGCAATGGAAAGTTACTGAGGTGCATGATACACAGAAAAAAAAAGTAGACTACAGCTAGAGAACATACTGAGAATTCTTGTACAAGATAAATCGTTATAGTTGATACAGTTGTAAGAAAAACAGTCTAGAAGAACAGGACACAGGGATAAGGAGTATCTGGGAATGGCAGGTGTCCAGGATGGGCTACAGTTAAGCTAACTGATAAGTAGGAGGACAGGAGGATTATTATGTCTCTGGTGCTAATGAACCAATTAAGCTGGTATAAGCATCTATTGGGCATGCTTCAAAGGCTGCCAGAAGTGATGAAGATTGTTGGAAGAAGTAAACGACCCTCAGAGACCACCACCACAATTCTGTACGCATGCGGGGAACTTTCTGGGAAATGATGTAATCCATACATAGCCTCATGAATATGTATGTATGCCCAGGGACTATATAAGGGCGGCTTGTGTAGCAATATGGGGACACACGTTAGGAGGAGCTATCCCCCGTGTCTCCCGGTGCCACAACAAATACCTGCTTGTCAGCTTGAAAACTTTGTTGGTAGGTTTGTTCCTGGAGTTTTCTCTGAATCACCAATTAGAATAAAAAAATATTCCCTAAACTTGAAGGGGAAGGGAATTAAAAATCATTCATAAATTTTAAAATATAAATTACTTATTGGTGTGAATTGGAATATAATACTTCTATCTTTCCAGTAAAGAAATAAAGTTGTAGATTGTTTCAAGATCTCAGGGCAATCATAGAGGATATTCATCCAGTAATAGCTAATCTGTATACCTTACTGACTAAATTGAATAATAATCAGAAATGGTTTGCCATCTTGAATTTAAAGGACTCTTTCTTTTGCTTACCATTGGCCAAAGAAAACCAGAATTTATTTGCTTTTGAATGGGAAAATCCTGACATGGGAAGGAAAACCCAATTAACTTGGACAGTATTAGCTAAAGGGTTTTAAAACAGTCCAACAATTTTTCAAAATCAGTTAGTGCTAGAACTAGAATCATGGAAACCACCCACTCAGATGGGGACTCTGTTACAATATGTGGATGGCCTACTAATTGCCACAGAAACAAAGGAAAAATGTGTCCACTGAATGGTGGGATTATTTAATTTTCTGGGACTGAATGGTTATCGTGTATCCAGACAAAAGGCCCAACTAATTCAAACCCGAGTTTCCTACCTAAGATATGAAATAACAGGAGGACAGAGAGAACTTGGAACTGCTAGAAAAGAAGCCATTTGTCAAACTCCACGACCGTCAACCATCAGGTTACTCCGGACGTTCCTGGGAATGACTGGATGATGCAGACTTTGGATGCATAATTATGGTGTTCTGGTAAGACCACTATATGAACTGTTAAAAGAAACCCCTCTCTCTTTGTAATGGACTGATTCAGCAGAGGAGGGCTTTAGAAATTAAAAACCAGAGCTAATGAGAGCTGTAGCTCTGACTTCTGGATATGGCTAAATCCTTTTGGCTGTATTCCTATGAAGAACAGGGAATAGCTTTGGAGTCCTTACTCAGAAATTAGGACCCTATAAGAGGGCAGTGGTGTATTTTTCAAAGCAGCTGAATGAAGAGATCAAAGGATAGCCCTGGCCTGGATGACTAAGGGCTGTGACAGCAGTTGTCATGAATATTGAAGAGGCCCACAATTTTACCTTGGGACAAAAGATTACTGTCCTAATGTCCCGTGTTGTATCAGCAGTCCTGGAACAGAAAGAAGTTCAATGGTTATCTCCTTCATGTTTTTTTAAATTCCAGGTCACCCTTGCGCACCATGATGATATAGAAATTGTGGTCACTAATGTTGTCAATCCAGCATCCTTTTGCAGGAACAACCAACAGAATTATTAACACATGACTGCTTGGCCACTGTATGAAATTGTATGTTCAAGCCGACCAGATTTGAAAGAAACCTCTGGAACATGCCCTGGAATTGGCTAAAGACAAAAGGATAAATATTTGGACTGATTCTAAATATGCATTTGGTGTGGTCCATGCACATGGTGCCATCTGGAAATAATCAGGAGTTTTGAACACACAGGGGAAACAGATTAAACATGCTACAGAAATTCTACGACTACTGAAAGCTGTTCAGCTACGTGCGGAAGTAGCTATTATGTATTGTCGAGGGCATCAACAAGGTGACTGATCAGGAAATTGGAAATAATTTGGCCGATTTTGAAGCCAAACCAGTAGCTGAACAATCTAAAATCCTTCCCTGAATCCCTGATGGCAAACTAACAATTGAGAAATCTAAACCTAGATATTCAAAGGAGGATAGAAAATTGATTGAAGATCTAAAAGGACAGGAAAACAAAGAGGGTTGGGGTCAGATACCTGATGGGTGAATTGTAATTCCTTATAATCAAGTCTGGAAGCTAGTTCAGTAGGAACATAATAAAACTCATTGGGGTAGCAACTCTTTGTATAAATACTTAGACGAACAAATTGTAGGAAGGAATATATATACCATAGTTCAATTAGTGACAACTAGCTTCCAGAGTTGGTTATAGGGGATTACA